ACCAAGCCACAGAGATCCGAGGGTCCAGATAATTGAGTTTGGAGGTTCCCAAGGCAATTTGTTTATTCTCCTCTCTGTCTGTGGCCTGAACTTCCAGCTTCATCAACTGTTCCTCCAGTCTCTGCACAGCCTTTTTCTTGGACTCCACCACCCTGAAGAACAACACCGAGGATCAGACCATGTCTTAGCAAGAGATCACACCACAACCTAATCTCATTTTGGGCAGCCAAGGTACAAAAGCCCCAAACAAGCAATGTTGCAATGCTAGAAAAGCTGAGGACCCAGCTGCTGGCTGGTGTTGTGTTGTCTGCTTTTCTAAACCTCCAACTTCCAAACCCCAGGGACCTACTTCTTGGTCTTCGCATCCTTCATGACCTTGGCATCGGCCTTGGCGCTCTTTAGATCTCTCCGGGCATCTGCTAGCTGGTCCTTCTTGGCATCAATCTGTGTGGGCAAAAACAGTATGAATTAGGAGCACATTGAGCCAAGACGGGAAAGAGAAGGGCTCCACTGCAAAAGCAAAAACCAACAGAAGGTGTCTCCACCAGCCTCTGTAGCTTCCCGAGGCAGACTAGGTATATACTGACTGCTGTTTGTCTGTCTGTTTTTCAGTGAGTCATCAAGAAGCCAAGGTATTACCAAGAAGTGACCTCAAGTTCCTTTAGGTTCTGGGAAAAGACTGGGAACCCGGAACCTAATCTTTCAACCAGGGAACACACTGGCTTTCAACACCTGGAGGGAACTACAGGTAAAAGTCGCTTCTCAGACAGATCCTATGGCTGGTTTTAAGATGCACTCTATGGATACTGCCAGAGACACTTGTCAGGAAGGTAGAGATATGATTCTTCTATCTACTCAGCAAGTTCAGAGACTGCCCAGATTCAGCCAGCACCTCTGGATAAACGTGCTGGCTTTTCAAAGATACCCTCAGTGGCCAGAAAATGACAATTAAAAGAGATTTACCACTTGCCTCACTTTGTCATACTGTGGTGGCTTGTGTGTTGCTGTGATTATGAAAGCTATGTCACTGGTATTTAAAATACCAGCAGGGTCACTCAACATAAACAGGTTATTACCAGAACTTGCAGACGAAGAACAGACTATGAAGAAGTAAACACTGCCACATATTGATAGACCAACGAATAGAAGCAGAACACAAGAGGGGCCCTTCAGGTCAGAAGGCACTCAAAAACTATGATGATGGAAGAGATGACGTCTCAAAGTAGAGTTGACCATAAGACATGAATGGAGCAAAGCCTTTGGGGCCTTCATTTGCTGGTAGTACAGTTTCAAAATGAGAAGAAACAGAAAAATCCACTAATCAATCTACTTGGAGTGTACAAAGTATGAACCTAGAAAATTGGAAGTCATCAAAATCGAAATGGAACACACAAATAACGATATCCTAGGTTGTTACAGAGCTGGAATGGACTGGTATGAGCCATTTTGAGTCACACAGTCATATGGTTACTTTGTATGCTGGGAATGACACAATCCACGGGGATGGCATCTTGAAGCCATTTTCAAAAAAGATGCTTCAGGATCTATTTTGAAGTATAATGCTATCTGTGATAGGATTAAATCTATGCACATACATAGAAATCCAATAAATACAACTATTATTCAAACTTATATACCAACCACAAAAACTGGTGACAAAGAAAATCAAGAATTCGACCGATGTCTTCAGTCTGAAATTGATCAAATACGCAATCAAAAGGGATTGATAACTATTGGTGATTGGAATGCAAAAATTGGAAACAAAAGAGGTAGGAATAATAGTTAGAAAATATGGTAGTGGTGATAGAAACAAAGCTAAAGATGGCATAGAAATTTCCAAGACTGGCGGCTGATTCATAGCAAATACCTTTTTCCAACAACATAAAAGGCAACTCTACATGTGAACTTCTCTACCACATGTGGGAAGAGATAGATGATGGAAGAAGCTCGGTATCAGCAGCTAAAACCAGGCCAGAAGCTGACCGTGGAATAGACCATCAAGTATGCATATGTAAGTTCAAATTAAAGGTGAATACATCCAAAATCAATCGATGTGAGTCAAAATACCACCTTGATTTCATCCCACCTGAATTTGGAGACCATCTCAAGAACAGAGAACTGGTGGACTGAACACCAAACTAATAAAAGAAGACCGGATGAGCTGTGAGAGGCATCAAGGACATACTTCTTGAAGAAAGCCAAAGGTCATTAGGAAGCTAAGAATGAAAATATCGAAGTGGATGTCGGAAGAAGACTCTGACATTTGTTTTTTAATCAGAAAGTAGCTAAGGCAAATGGAAGAAATGATGGCGTTAAAGAGCTGAAAAGGAAATTTCAAAGGGTAGCTGGAGAAGATAAAGTTATGATATGTGCAAAGACCTAGGGTTAGAAAACCATAAAAGAACAAGTCCAGCATATTTTAAACCAGCGGTTTTCAACCTGTGGGTCGAGACCCCTTTGGGGGGTTGAACGACGCTTTCACTGGGGTCACCAGATTCATTAACAGTAGCAAAATTACAGTTATGAAGTAGCAATGAAAATTTTATGGTTGGGGGTGGGGGGGTGTTACCACAACACGAAAAACTATATTAAAGGGTCACGGCATCAGGAATGTTGAGAACCACTGTCTTAAACTGACAGGATTTCAGAAAAAATTCAAGCCTTGAATTGCAACATTTAAAGATTGTATGGGAAATATATGGAATGATGCAGGGAGCATCCAAGCAAGATGGAAATCACTGCATCTGAGCAAGAAGTAATGGGCCTAAAGAAACAAGTCTGCACTGAAAGCCTTAGCCAAAGACAAGGCTCCGGGCATTGAAAGAGCGCCAAGTAAGATGTTTCAGCAAGCTCATGGAGCACCGGGAGCAAGCACTCATCTTTGCCAGGGAATTCGGAAGGCAGCTACTTGGCCAGCTGACTAGAAGAGATCCATATTTGTACCCATTCCAAAAAAAGGTGACCCAACAGAATATGGAAGTTATAGAACAATATCATTAGCATCCCATGGATATAAAATTATGAAGATCATCCAACAATGGTAGTATCAGTACATTGACAAAGAGCTTCCAGAGATTCATGTCAGATTCACAAGAGGATGTACACAAAGGGATACCATTGCTGATGTCAAGTGTATTTTGACTGAAAGCAGAGACGACCATAAAGATGTTTGCATGTGTTTTATTGACTATGCCAAGACTGTGTGCAAAGACCCAAATCCCCGAATGGACTAATAGGTAAGTAGCATCATAATAAACATTAAAAATGAAGTTGTCAAGCATTTTGTCTTGCTTAGATCCACAACGATGCTCATGGAAGCAGCCGTTAAGAGATCAAGCAACAGGACGCATTGGGTGAGTCTGCTGCACGAGTGTTAAAAGCAAGGAGGTTACTTTGAGGACTAAAGTATAACTGACCCAAACCATGGCTGTTTTCAAGGGCTTCATATGCATGTCAAAGTTGGACACTGAATAAAGGCAAGCTGAAAAACAATCGATTTATCTGAATTATGGTAATGGGGAAGAATAATGAAATTACTATGGACTCCCAAATGAACAAACTAATCTGTCTTGAAAGTAACAGCCATAATGCTCTTTATAAACAAGGATGGCAAGACTTCATCTCACATACTTTAGCCATGTTGTCAGGACACACCACTCTGTCCCTGGAGAAGGACATCATAGTTGGTAAAGAAGAGGGGAAGTGAAAAAAGGAAAGGCCTTGGAAAAGATGGATTTACACAGCGGCTGCAACAATGAGCTTAAACATAAGAGTAATTATAAGGATGGTGCAGGAGCAGGCAGTGGTGCCTCTGTTGTGCTTGGCTTGCTGCAAGTTAGAGCCGACTTGATGACACTAAACAAGAGAGACCCCAACCCCAAAATTCACACAGCTCAACTGGTGTGCTCTATATCAAATCAATGCTTGGTTGGCATGCCTCGGCTGTCATCCTGCCTTCAGAGAGGCCTGGGGTGAGAAGCCAATCCCAGCAGTGAGTAGATCACATGTCAGGATGGAGGATTGCAAACATTTTCTCCTCTTGCTTTCTTTTCCCAAGTGAAATCTGGGGTGTCTCCTTCCATAAAGGAAGGTCAGAGTTTCACCCTTTTGTCGCTTGTTACCACTCCTGAAGCCAAAGAAAGGGGAACTAACCGAATATGACAGTTCTACACTGACAGCAGTGGTCGCCCATACCTGGGACCACATGCTACCCTGTGAGGTCAAGGGAACCTCTGCAGAGTAAATCCGTGCCTGATGCACGCACTTTGGGCTGTTCACCGAGCTTAGAATTGTCTGTTATATATACTCACATAGCCAGAGACTGGAACAGAGGGCACCACTGTGAAAGAATCATTAAATATATTTTACTGTGAATGGCTTACTTCCAACAGCTATGCTGTCCAAACGCAAGCTGAGCGAACAGATTCTATACATAAAAGCATCACAGACACCCCAAGACAGATTGTTTGCAGGGCCAGAAATGCAGCAAACCACAGCCCTTTAACCATTTCTGCAAACGCTAAATTGGCAATGCTAAAGTTTCTCAAAAGCATCAAAGACTCCATTGATTCACTTGGCAAACAGTGGCGTGTTTGCTTTGTGGGCACACAAGGGAGGGTTCTGAGGCTTGGAGGGCTCGCCTGGTAGGCAGCCTTGGCTGCAAATCAGTGGCTCCAGAGTGAGACCAACAAGATCAACAAAAAGCAAGGGTCTCAGAATTAGGTAACCACCACCTGAATTTTCATGCGTGTGTGTCTGGTCTGAATGACAACCCGATGAGAGTGAATACAACCAGAGAACCGGCATTTTAGCAGAATGAAGCAAGTGGAGCCAAAAGGATGGGTGTGATGGATGGTTTTTGGCCTTCCAACAATAAGCCAAGGATAAAAGAGGCCTAAGGAGGCATTCTCCACCCACAGTAGACGTGGACACCACCTTCAAGGAAGCAAGGTGGCATCTAGAGCATGAACCATAGGTTGTTTATGTCTTTTGAGCCAGGTGTCCTACTCCTGGGTGTTTTATCTTGAAGATATCGCAAAAGGAAGAAAACACTCTTGGGCCTGAAAACTTATGCCTGGTCCGTGGAACTTATAGATCAGAAAGTGAGGAGTGGGTATATTTGAAATACTGGCGATATAGCTTCCAGCATCGTAGCAAGCCATCACAATGCATCCATTGACAGATGGGTAAGGGTACACAGTCACTGTGTCCGATGCTGTCACAGTGTCACCCATCTCCTTGAGGGTCACAATGTTCTGCTACTAATCATAAGGTGCCACTGGCCAATTCCTTCAGAAGTAGATTGTTAAGATCCTTGTCCCCAGCCTGTGGGAGTCTGGAAGCTCTGCTCACTATGGGTGAGCCTGCTGGTATTTGCAATACTGGTGGCAAAGCTTCTAGCATTACAGCCACACACAGTACAACACATGGACAGATGAGTGGTAGATACAGCCTTTACCAGCACAGAAGTGCTCACCATCAGGTGGCTAAGTGCCCCGTGACACACAAGCCCCAGTACAGAGCAGGAGGGAGGAGAGGAGCACTGGCTAGCCTGCACGCCAGTCTCACTTTAGGCTTTATGTTGTTTCTAGGGCAGCAACTCTGGCACAGAGCCAGTCTGCAGCAGATGTTTGCTGATCAACTGTATGAAAATATGATTTGCCACGGAACATGTCAAAATAAAAATAGATGTGCTAGAACTAGAAGGACACACCCACCCACCCTTCAAAAAAATCCGTTTATTTCATTATCTTTTCAACTTGAAACAATCTAATTTGAGAACCGTTGTATTTGAGGGCCGTGGCAAAGTCTGTGGAGAAGACTCTTTATATCCATTTCCTCATGTGTGAATATAAGGATTGCAATAAGCTATCTTTCAGAGAGTACATCAGTTAACTAACTTTTAAAACCGGAAAAAGACCCATGGAGAACTTCTGGTCATAGACTAAATACAGTCTGAACAAGAGCACCCTGACAGTCACCACCTCAATCAGGAACAGATCCAGTCAGATTTCCCTGTAATCTGCACCAGGCCTTTCTCCCAGGACAGAAGCAGAGATGACGTCCTACTATGTCAGCAGACATCTCTCGTTGGCTAGTGAGCTGCCCACAGAAGCCATTTGCCACTAGCCAGACCCCGGTACCTTAGACTGCAAGTTCATCATGGACTTCTCAAATGTTTTCGGTGGTGCCCTCTGATGGTTACAAAGAATTGCAACAGCTCGGTTGGCACGGTTATAAGAGAGGATCTTTGCTGGGATGTTCTCATCCGCTATTAAACAAACAACAAAAGCCCGATAGTAAGAGAGTCAGTTTGAACACCAAGAGACACAAAACATTTCTCGAGAGCAGTAGTTCTCAACCTCCCCAATGCTGCTACCCTTTAATACAGTTCCTCATGCTGTGGTGACCCCCAACCATAACATTATTTTTGTTGCTACTTCCTGTCACTTTGATACTGTTATCAATTGGGCGACCCCTGTGAAAGGATCGTTTGACCCTCAAAGAGATCAGTCACGACCCACAGGTTGAGAACTACTTCCCTAGAGTGTCACCCCATGATTCTGATGGCCCTGGTCATACCCAGGTGGTTCAATTCAAATATCCTCTGGGGCACAACACCAAAATCCTAAAGTCAACCACCTTAAGCTGTAGAAGCAGGACAGGACATTTCTAAGACCAATCGACAATGGTGGTGGTAGTGTTTAAATGGTAAAAATAAATGTTATCAGAGAAATGTTTTACTATTGTTATTGCCATTCTTTACCCACAACATACCTATCTGTGGCTTACTATTATTTAGCCCACAACTCCCTTTTCAGGAAAAAACTCAGTGCCTCCCGGCAATTACAATTAAGTGTAGGTACTTGCTTTAGTACCTCTGTCTCCCTCTGATTGTTCCAGAACCCCCAAGGGGGTGGCACTCCCCACTTTAGGAAACTGCTTCAAGGCCACTTGGCATATTTACAGAAACAGTCAAACTTAGTGGTGAATGAGCGCCAGGAAAAGTCTGTGGATCTTGGTGATAGGCTCCTATAAGCTAGTCTTTAGAACAGTATTACCTAGCGCATGGAAAAAGACAAACGACAAAGACCACAGGCAAAGGTGTGTGCCTGTATATTTCTAGTAACCATAACAAATTTAATCTTTCAATTTAACAAAATAATGTGGTACTACGTCTTATAAGCTTTACAGTAATGCACACAAAACATAAAACATAGGCACCTTCAGCCCGGGTGGAAAGCCATTGTCAGCACTCCATGGAGTCAATCTATAAGGTGGGGGTGAGGGGAGAGAGGACACACCAAAGCGATGTTTACATAACTCAGGCTTAGGGCTTAACTAGAGTAAGGAGGGAAAGGATTGCCAGTCACCAAACTAAGGAGGAAAAGTGGAACTGATCTAGGTAGAACCCAGCTGAACAGGGGCACTGGACACCACTGGTAAGCTGTAGGCCTTGTCTGGCCAAAGAATACTTACGGGCTGTGAGTTCTTTGAGCTGCTGCTGTAGCGTGATGGAGGCATTGTATGTACGGAACACCTTGGCTGTCAAGCCCTCCATGAGATCCTGAAGATGCTTATTCAGAATGCCAGTCTGGAGGAGACAAAGCACCAGAAAGGTTATCAGGTTAAAGTAAAGGCCACACCACAGCCTGCCATTTCTAACAAGCTCCAGGAGTCCTTTATGCCCGTGTGCTCACAACCAGCAAGGTTTATTCTCTATTGGCAGAAAATCAGAGGCGAGTTTTAAAAAATCCACAATAGTCTTATAACGATATCTCCCTATGAAGTACTCAAATCTTAAGAAAGCAAGTAAAGCAAATGTGCCCTTCACAGATAAGATCTTCCTCGCAAAGACACCAATCAGAGACAGGTCTGGGCTTCTCTAGCAAAGGCTGCTGGACATTGTGCCAAGGGAAGGCTCTCTAGGAGTCAGTAGAGGATAAGAGACAGGCTAACTGCAATGTTGGTGGTTCAAATCCACCAGCTACTCTGAAAGAGAAAAATGAGGCTGCCTGTTCCCATGAATGGCTGTGATGTGTGAAAGGTTGCTGGGGAAGCCCACGTTATCCCAGGCAGGCAAGCTCTCCCTCAGGAGCTTCTGAGGTTCCTGCTGGGACCCCTTCCCCAGCCAGAAAGGCATTTCTTTCACTCACATTGAGCCGGTCAAAAAGATCATCCTCTGGCTGCTTGTTCTCCATGAACAGTTGTAGGTTCTTAAAAACCTGAAAGACATAAGAAAAGCCTTATTATTATTACTTCAAGACAAAAGATGAGGCTATCTACTCCTGTTAAGATTTAAAGTCTCCCCAAATAAAACAATGTTGAGAACAAGGGGGTCGGAGCAGACACCCAAAACCCATCTATAGACAGTGGAACATCCCCTCACAGAAGTATCACAAAGAAGGGATGAGTCAACCAGGGTGAAGTACAGCACCAATGAAACACACAATATTCCTCTGAATCCTTGAGGCTTTCCCTTCACCCCCACTATCATGACCCCAATCCTGCCTTTTACTGCAGGCTAGGCCGGAACATGTACACAGGTACAGATAAGAGCTTAGGACACAAGGAATCCAGGTCAGATAAAGTCCTCAGGAACAGAAATGGGCATAGCAATACCAGGAGGGTAGAGGATGGTGGGGAGAGGAGTGGGGAAGAAACCGAAGGGGAAGAGAGACAGCATTCGGTGTAAGATATGAAATTAATAATAATTTATAGTTTAATAAGGGGTCAGGAGGATAAAAAGAGGAGCTAATACCAATGACTCAAATAGAATGTAAGTATTTAGAAAATAATGGCAACATGTACAAATATGCTTGATACAACTGATGTATGGATTCTTATAAGATCTGTAAGAATCCTCAATAACATGATCTTAAAAAAAAAAAAATTAACCTCTCAGGAACCTGAAAGGGCAGTTCTTCATTGTCCTATGTGGTCCACATGAGTCAAAATTGATTCAGTGACAATGAGATTGGTTTTGGGGGTGAATCTACTTTAATCTTTTGGAAATAACTACAAGCTTACAAGTCTACTTTCCTCAAATATTACACACACACACACACACACACACACACTATCTCGAGTAAAAGTAGGACCCATTCACCTTGAATCCAAATTCATTAACATTGAATCCAAATGTTGTAACATTTCTCCCCCTGCTAATTTGCACAGCATGGATGCTGGGCACGCTTCATTTATGTGCGCATGCATACAATAATTTTTACATATTGTGGCCCTTCCCCTCTATAAAATACTTCAATGTCTATTTCCTGAGGATATACTCCTTTACATAGCCACAGTGCTTAGTCATATATTCATGGTATTGCACACTTTTTACTGTTCCACATATTTCAATTTTGTGAGTGGATCTAATGATATCCTTTCTTGCTTCATTGTAGGTACACTCTAGGTTGAACTATAATAATTTCTGCAGGCAACAAGATATATATAACTGCTGAGTGAGCATCAGACTGAGGATGAGCTGAGGTACAGGCATAGGTCTGTGAGTCTGAGTCAAGACGGGTACTTTGTGTAGTATTAGGCTGGGGCTCGCTGGAGCTGTATCTAAGGGCTCAGGGAACGAGGCACCAAAGGGACATATTTTCATTCAGCCAGGAACTGAGGAGAGACTGAGCAAAGCTGCAAAAGTGACAAATAAATATGCAACATGACCAGGGTATGCCGAGATGTCACCACATCATTAAAACTGCAAATACGCGAGGCTAATTCTAACAAGGAAGGTATATAAGACACCAAACATCTCTCTTCTCTCAGCCATTTTTTCTCTCTTCTCTTTTTAAGCAGCTCATCCACATCATACAATTAAATAATTCAACCATATCAAGAAGAGTTTTACAATGATCACTGGTTAATTCTGGAACATTTTCTTCCTTGTACTCATTGTTATTCATGTAATTATTTTGTTTCTAACTGTGGTAAAAATACACATAACAACACCAGCCATTTTCTAGTGCCCAAATAGGGTCCAAAATGCACCAGAAAACACTCACTGAGTGAGTGAATGATGGCTGAAATGAAAAAAAACAGGTCAGGGACCAAAGTCCACAATGACTTACCCGTTTTTCAACAGGGACCTTGTTATAGTATCGGATTGAGTCCTTCCCAAGGAAGTCAAACTCTACCACATATTCCTGACCATCCAACTCAGGGTGCAGATTGATGTGCTCCACTCGCAGTGAGCAGCAACCCACAGTGTCTGCTGTTTCTCCTTCCTCCTTCTCGTTACCTGCTCTCAGAGCAAGCTGTGCAGGGAGGAAAGAAAAAGGTAAATGAAGAAAGTGGAATCACTGAAGGGTTCTAGGAAAACCACTTCTCTTTCGAACAAAGATATAAGGCAAAAAAATGGATGGTAAATGAAGTGCATCTACTATGGATAATCATAATCCAAAAAGCTAGTCTCAAGTGTGTGTAATTTTGACACATTTCAAATTTTATGCTCCACTAGCAGCAGTGCAAAACAGGGAAAGCTCACCAAATATTTTTCTTTTAAAGCAGTGGTTCTCAACCTTTCTAATGCTTCAACCTTTTAATACAATTCCTCATGTTGTGGTGACCCCCTACCATAAAATTCTTTTTGTTGCTATTTCATAACTGTAATTTTGCTGCTGTTATGAAATGGGCAACCCCTGTGAAAGGGTCCTTTGACCCCCACAGGGGTTGCGACCCACAGGCTGAGAATCCCTGTTTTAAAGAGTACTGGGAAATTGATATCCTCTGGAACACTGCTGTTCACATTGTAGTCATGACTCAGGAGTAGAGCTACAGTTACTTTAATACCTTGTTTCTTTATAGGCTCATGCAAATATACATATATAATAAATAAATGAAATATAAATATATATTATAACACACATATATAACAAATATACTAAATATAGACAAACACAAACATATTAACGTGCTAGTTTGTGGTAGAAATTGGATGTTTTATTGTGGCTCAGTCACACAGGAAACCTCAACAGCATTTCTGACACATCAAGACCCTTCCCAGCAAGCAGTGGCCTTCAGGAGAGCCACAGGTACACTGGGGTAGGAGTCCATTCATGCTCTCACTAGTAAGAGGCCCTGTGGGCTGCCACTGACTCAACGGGACTTAGTACAGTGCCTGGAGCTGACTGAATGCTGCCTACATGTTGAATAGCACCTAGCAGTTGACACCAGGAGGCAGCTGCCCTTACCTTGTCGATGAAGTACAGGGCTACAGCTCTCTGCCGGACCTTCATCTCTTTGGACTTCCAGTCTTCTCTATACTGGTTTCGGATCTTGTCTACACACTTCTTGAGCCGCCGAGCAGTTTCATATTTTTGCCAGTCTTTCTCACCCTGCAAAGACCCAACACCAAAAGCAAGATTGCTTAAAGGGAAGGTAGATAAAACAAACTTTGACCAAGGACTGTCCAAGCATTATGCTCCAGGGAGTGTGCTTGCTACCTATTTCACCGTCAAGTACACTGGCTCCTCTCTAACTGCTGATAAAGCCCGGACTTTCATTCTGTGAAATATCTGTTCCTGGATAAAGCTCGGATGGCATATCCCCAAAATGGACTTTTCCTGTCAGCACAGGGAATAAAACCACTTAAAATACAAAGGGTGTCTCAACATCCCCATCTCCTCATTCACTGCTAGGACTGAATTCCATTAAATTCAAGAGAGCCATTCATAGTCTGATCAAAGAAGCAGAGTTAGAGATTACAACATGGAATTCCAGGAGCAGCCATAATCATTCACCATTTCCTAGTCTCTGCATTTAGAAAGGTTTCTTGATTAGATAAAGAGGTGCACAGTGTTTCTAGGAATACTTAAAACATTTTTTGAAGGTTTAGAAAGTTGTTCTAAAAGGTTTATTAAATGGGGTGCAAAAACCCAATCAGTAGTTAAGGAAGAGATCAGTGCTAAAGAAAGACACTAGCTGTTGTGCTGAATGGAACTACACTCTCAACATGGGGCACGTTAAATTACCAGCCAGGAGCACAGGAAGGAACTGAAGAACACAAGGTGCTCTGCTCTTCATTGGTGCTGGTCTCTTACATGAGCACGCTGCCCTGGAGGTTAAGAACCAGGATCACGTTAACTGGCCTTTGGACCTGGTGGGAAAGGGGAACACACCGCAAGAAGGTCTTCCACTTCTAGACCTAAAGCTCACACAGGTGTGCTATATACTATGGATAGCCAGCACTCACCTCAGATTGCATGTGTATTAGTTGTATGTACTTGTCTAACCATAGAGCAAGCAGTTCATTAACTACCCGATGTGTGTGGGTATTTAACAGGGATTTAATAGTTGGTGCTGCAGAAGACCATGTTATAACACCGGTGAGTTGAAAATTTCTTGTTTCCTTTATGTATATGTTGACATTTAAGATGCAGAATAAAAAAAGGTGATATAAGCTCTCCTCACATCTGTAATAAACCTCCATGATCATGGTTTCTACGTGCAAGTACACAAACAGAAAATCCAGTGTACAGTCTGGATGCTATCTAACCAGGGCACTGGGGTGGGATGGGATGGGGTAGCCAGAAACGCCTTGGGCCAGCCTCTAGCAGGTATGACAACTCTGTTTTCTGTCCCTGAACATATTATCTCCAATCAAGCCCTGCCTGAACCCCAAACCAACTCAGTAGAACAAGGAGGACTGTCCTTACCCCATTTCTTCTTTTCCTCAGTGATCCCTCCACATGATTAAAAAACTAATTTGCATAATTAAATCTGGTGTTCTTTGAGTGACTTTCTTTTATGGTGGGCCCACATTTTTTTTTTCTAAAACACGCTTATTAAGCACTCAGCAGGGCTCATAGAGTGAGGTGAGGATGTGAACTCAGTGGGAGATAAGGAAGTAGGCTAACCTCAGTATCTGCCCACCCACCCAATCTCAGATTTGTGGAGGATGATGACTTCTAGTAATATTCTTACAAGACTCTTTCCTGCTCACTTGCCTGGTGATTCCTATGTGAGTCTTTGTTTAGAATCCCAGAGAAGAGGACCTGAGTAGCATCCTAAACCCCAAACTTAAGTTCCTTTAAATGAAAGACACAACAAACTATATTTCCTTATCAGTATCACATTTACAAGAAGAAACTCAGGTACTTTTATATGCGTTCTTACATATTCTGGAAATAAGTATTTTGTCAGACACACTTTAGATCTCTATTTTCATCAAGTAATTGCTGCTCCTCTGGGACTTTTTAAAACCTCAATTAAGTTATTCCTTTAATTGCAAAAATTTTTAATAAAGATTTGTTATATATATTTTGGTTTGGAAAATTACATTCATTTTATGAATAAAATGTTAATATGAACTTTAAAAACAATTTTATTGGGGGATCTTATATCAATTTTATCAAGCATACTTGTACATATATTGCCATCATCATTTTTCTAAACATTTACTTTCTATTTGAACCCTTGGTATCAGCTCCTTTTTTCCCCTCCCTACCCACCTCGTGACCCCAATAACTTATAAATTATTGTTTTCATGTCTTACACCAACAGGGGGACTGTCTCAATCATTGCAATCAGTTCTGCCTCCCTCCACCCTTCACCTTTTCTCTACCTTTCTGGTATCACTATTCCCAATTCTGTTCCTATGGGGTTTATCTGACCAGGATTCCTTATTTCCTGGGCTTTTATCTCTACCAGTGTACATGCTCTGGTCTAGTCAGAACTGAGAGGCAGGACTGGGGTCATGATAGTGGGGGGTAAGGAAGCCTTAAAGAACTAGAGGAATATTATGTTTCATCGGTGCTATACTGTGCCCAGATTGAATCATCATCCCTTCCTTGTGACCCTTCTGTGAAGGGATGTCCTATTGTTTACAGATGGGTTTGGGGTCTCTGCTCCGACCCCTCTCATTCTCAACAATGTGGTTTTTGTTTGTTTGTTTGTGGTCTTCTGGTGCCTGTTGCCTGACTCCCTCAACACCTCATGATCACACAGGCTGGTGTGCTTCTTCTGTGTGGGCTTGTTGCTTCTCTGCTAGATGGCTGCTTGTTTAACTTCAAGTGTTTTAAGACCCCAGATGCTGTATCTTTTGATAGCTTGGTACCATCAGCTTTCTTCACCACATTTGCTTGAACACCCATTGTCTTCAACGATTGTGTCGGGAGAGTGAGCATCACAGAATGCCAGGTTGTTAGAACAAAGTGTTCCTGCGTTAAGGAAGAGGCCCAAAGTCAGTCCACTTCCTTAATCTATTACCATATAAATGTATATACCTACATCAATACCTCTATTTTTATGAATTAATACATTTATGTAAATGCACAACTATGTTTATACCTTATCCATAGCTTTGCTTCCTAGATCTTTCCTCTTTCTTTTTACCTTCTTCCTGCTCTATCATACTTGCCCTTCTTCCACTTCACCTCTTAGTAATTCCTCTCAGCTAGATTGCTGTTGCTCCAACACCTCCAGGATCTCTACATCCTCCTGTTGTTGCTTTTAATTCCCTAGTTGTTCCCATCTATGGCGTTGTTTGCTCACCACTCCCTTCCCCCACTTATTCCTCCCCCCAATATGAACATTCTTATAGAAGTCCTATTATAGATACAATCAGTAGCTCATCGTGGCTTAAATTTACTTTTTACTCAATGAATTTCAAACACTATTTGTGCTTATTAGCCAATCCTGTATCATCTTTTGTAGAGTATTTGTTCAAGTCTACTGCCTTTTTTTTTTTTTTTTTAACTTTTGTTGTGGCTTGCGTGAAACTTTATAAAGCAAACTGGTTTTTCAGTCAACAGTTTGTACACTTTGTTTTCTAACACCTACTGCAATCTCCACAGTGTGACAGCATTCTTCCCCATTTATCCTTTCCATTCATCCTTCTTCCATATCCCTTCCTGCTGGCCTTGAGCTTTATCCCTGGGGGCAAACAACACACAGGGCTGCCTGTTCTAAGGGTTGCGCAACTCACCTTATAGGTTTGTCTACCAATTAGCTGTAAAGTTGAGCAAGAGATATATTCAATTCCAAATGGGAAGGGCGTTGAAAGGCCATAATCTCAGGTATTTCATTAGTCTCTAATTTTAAATCCATAAGCTGGGTCTTTTAAATTTCGTTCTACCATGTTGCCTGTTCTACCCAAGACCACAGAATTAATGTATTTTAATTATGACACTGGCAAAAAATATTTCAGGTACTCCGGACTGTTAGAAGTACATCCAGAACGCTCCCACGAAGCAAGGTCACTGTGGACATCTTAACAGGAGAGACCAGACCCTGGAAAGGGACATTATGCTTGATAAAAGTAGAGGGTCCGTGAAAAAAGAAAAAAAAAAAAGACCATTGATAAGATGGATTTAAATAGCAGCTGCAACCAGGGTTTCAAACGTAATTGTGAAGAGGGCCCAGGACCAAGCAGTGTTTCATTCTATTGTGCATATAGGGTCGCTATGAGACAGATCTAACTGGACAAAACCTAATAAAAACAATTATTCAGGACCTCCTATTGTGATTCCTTTTAGAGCAGTTAGCTGTGGGAGTTGGGCACCATCTAGTTTGTCAAATCTGCGATTCCATTCTTGGAAACATTTTTCAAACTCATCTGTTTGGATGGCTGACAACAACTCCCTCATTTTTTCTTCGCCTCTTCTATGGTGCCAAATCGCTGTCCTTTATGTCCCTCTTCATTGGCGGAAACAAAAAATGTCGCATGGAGTGAGGTCAGGTGAGTAAAGTGCATGTGGCAAGAGAGGCAGGCTATCATTTACTAAAAATGGGTGCACTGAGATGGCTGCGTGAGCAGGTGCATTGTCTGGATGTAAAATCCAGTCCCATCTGCCACAAATCGGGCCTTTTATTTTTCGGTCACACACTGTTAAGGAATCTTTTAAGACCTCTAAATAGAAAACTTGATTAACAGTCTGACCTGGTCGAAAAACTCCAAATGTACTATCCCCCTCACATCAAAAGAAAAACAAATGAGCACTGTCTTGATCTTTGATTTCACTTGACAAGCTTTTTTTGGGCGATGATGGCATCTTCCACTGGCTTGACTGATGTTTGGTTTCAGGGTCTTAAGAATAGCACCATGTCTATTACCGTAATGACCTTGGGGAAAAAGTCTGGGTGGCTTCAAAACTGTCCTTTCAAAGCATGCTTCCATTTGACACTATTTTTTGCTGGTCATTCAGAACCTAAGGCACAAATTTTGCAGCAACCCTTCCCATTCCCAAATCTTCTGTCAAAGTTCACTGAAGTGAGCTCCAAGATATTCCAGATAGCTTCCCCATCTCTGTCAATGGTCCATCGTCAAGCTTAAGTGATCTT